AGTGCGTCTGTGTGCTTATGTGTGTGGTAAAAAAGGCGGCAGAGCTCGGCCAAAGTGTGTGAGGTTAGAAAGTTGTCATCAGCCATGGGGCGGAGGTGACAAGCCAGGTTACAACGCTGTACAGCTAATAGTAGTGTTAAAACTTGTCATTCATCATTTCATCATGTGTACTTCCCTAAAATAAAAAAAGGTTTACTCAAAACAAGTCTTTATAGTTATCACTAGCAAAGCCAGAATAAACATAACCAGGAAAAAGAAGAAAGAAAAAAATGGACATTTATAATTTACATTGGGTTGAAATAAATGAGCAAGAAATAAAGAAAGAAAGGAATAAAGAGACTGAGTAAAAGACAGAATGACTGAAAGTCAAGGGAAGAACTGAACTGTCCCTATGTCACACCTTTTTTTCACTTCCTTTGGCTACCACATCGATTAATCCAAAAGGGCACTCAGACCCAGTTATAACATACACATGAAGGCTCCACCAGTTGAGAAGCAATGAACTAGTGGTTTGGTTAATAAAAACGGAAAAATATACAAACATTGTATGAATATTTATGCCTGAATGGATTATAGTTCATTTTAATTTTGAAGAACCATTTCCTAAATAAAACTCTACAGAGAGTTATAAATACTCATATTACATAAAAAAGATTATCAGTTTCAAAACTGATCCCTATATTATAAATAGCTCATAATAATTCCCTATAGTGCAACCAAATCAAAGATATTTAGCAAAGATGTTTACTTACAAACAAGAAACTAAGATTTTGTTACCGGAGGGCGAGAATAAGTTTTACATATTTGATATTAAGAATGAAAAGTGTTAAACTATGGAAATAATGTATGTTTATTTGCTGTATATTTATCATGTGTCAGGCTTCAATGTTATGCACATTAGTATTTATTTATTTTATCGTTACTCATTTATTTTATTTCTATACACGGAGCTCCAAAGTTGCGTAATGTGGGAGGAGATGACAGGAATATAGACAGGAAACTTGGGGCGTGAGTGAGGGTACGACATCCAACAAAGGTCCCTGGCAGAAATCGAACCAGGGAAGTTATATGGTAATAAAAGCGTTATAATATTCTGCCACTAGCCCTTGTGTCAACAAGATCCTAGGCACTCCCTTTTGTATTTCACTGCTTGCTTACATACTGTTATAAAGCATAAAGCATGAGAGCATTATAATTCTTTTCCATGCCATATAAAGTTTAGCCTGTTTCTTTAATGACAAACCATAAAAAGAGCGGGGATGAAAGACAGAAGGTCAGCCGGGACAGGTTCTTAGGCAGCAGAAGTGCTCAAGACAATTCTCTGAACCACTAAAGAGTCCATTTGTATGCAGGAGGCTTCGGGCATTCGTCTCCAGCAGTGTGACAGGAGAGTTGGGGCCATGGTGTCTGTCAAGGCAGGTTAAGCTTACCCTCGGGACAGAATCCGGCAAGCATCAAGGTCCATTATGCCAGGGATTAAGTCTGACGGGGAGGGATAGGCGCGGCTGGGGTGTACACGAAGACTTTTCCCCACCAAGTAATTCCCCTCTCCTCCTTGTTTCAAAGCTTTGAGCAAACCGAGTTTGTGGGGGTGTGACGATTTAAGAGGCAGGTCTGCAATCCCAGAAAATCACTGGGTTGTATCCTGGATGGGGGAGGGAGAGAACATCTTCAACATTTACCGTCAAAGTGTCCCTGAGCCCTTCTTTGGATGATCATTCTAGCAGAGAGAAGCGCTTTACCATAATTGTTTTCAATTAGTCTGCTGTTTTGTCCATTGTGTGGCTTCCATTGAATTTCACTGCAAAATGACACAATCTACCACCTCCGTCTCCTCAGTCCACTATTAAAATATAAATAAAGACTATTTAAGTCAGTTTTGAAGCAAATATCATAATAATAATTTGATGAGATACTTTACTAAATCGTGAGATGTTTTGATTTCTGTTTGGGAAAACTAACAT